CAAAATATATAACTAGCACCTCACTTCCCACCACCAAAGAAAAGGCTATAAGCCATACCCATGTTCCAGAGTATTATTACCACTCAGCTCAGCTATAAAACAAGTCATTCTCCTTCCTGGGCTTTAGCTGGCACTCACAAATATTTGACGGGATGCTTTAAGGAGGTTACATATTAGATAATCTAAAGATTCCTTTTATCTCTGGCACTTTATGGTTCTAAGATGAATGAACTTTTCTGAGTTGACCTAGCCTCAGAACCTTACTTATAGCACTGTTTCTATGCAGAAAAGTTTTAAACATCTCAAGCAACCAACTTAAAAATCAACTTTGGGAACATAATCCATTTGAAGTTGGGTCTTTCCCGTATCTCATAAAATACTGTCTGCCATTTTCCTATGCATCCTTAATATATTACCAGGTCAAAAATATTACTTGGAGAAAAAAAACACATTACAATTAAAATGATAAGGAAATAAAATAGTGCTTTTTCCTTACTACTAATAAAATTCTCAGTCATCTTGGCATCTTAAAGATTCTAGTTAAAACAGATCAAAGATGTTCCCCCTTCCATTTCTCTCCTGACTTTCCTCCTTGCTTTATTATTGCAATTAAATAAGCCCTTATTAAGTTTAGTAACTCTTGGGTGTTCAAATCCGAGGTTACAGAAAACATGGTGTTCCAGGGAGACAGAGTTGGGCAATGTGGCAGATAAACTCTAAGATGCCCCCATTGTCACTGCCTCTTAGTATTCATACCCTTGGGGAATCGCCTCTTCTTGAGTTTGGGTAGGACTTGCAACTTGCTTCTAACCAGTAGAATATGGCAAAGGTGATGGATGTCACTTCTGTGATTACATGACATAAGACTGTAACTTCCATCTTGCTAGCAGACCCTCTGCTTATGCTTCCATTGTTGGTTCTGATGAAATAAGTTGCCATATGGAGCAGTCCATGTAGCATGCACTGAGGCGGCCTCTGGCGGCAGCTTGTAAGGAGCTAAGGCCCTTAGTCCAACAATCCTCAAGGAACTGTTTGCTGCCCACAGCCACAAGAGCTTGGAAGGGGAACCTGCCCCTGTCAAGCCTCAGATGAAACCCCAGCCCAGACTGATAACTTCAGTGCAGCCTTAGGAGGGACTCCAAAGCTGAAGACCTAGGCAAGCCACGTCCGGGTTCTTGACCCACAGGAACTGCTAACAAACATGTCTTGTTTTAAGCCACTAAGTTTACAGTACATTGTTGCCTGGCAACTGATAATTAATACGGACAGATGAGAAACACACACTATAATGAGAGAGCAAACTGAAGGTGGCAGAATAACAAGCACAAGATAGGAAAGTTCAGGTAATCAAAGTAAAGGAAAGCTCACTATGGGATAAGGTTAGGTTGGAAATATTCCATAAAGTGGTTAGTTATGAGACCCATCTTAAGTGTTCCAGGAATTCAGACTGGCAGACAGGTAATAAGGAACAGCACAGAGGTAGAATCGACTGAATATCATGGACTAGAATAGTACCACACTGAGGAATAATGAGAGAAGACTGAATAAAGTGAGATGGGTTTAGATAGCTCCTGGATTGGCAGGAGCTGGAGGGGACTTCTCTTTGGTACCACAGCCAACACACTAAAAAAAAGCCTCTTGAGCAGGGAAACGACAACATAAAGCCCTATTTTAAAGAACTTAATCCTATCACAGAATAAAAGATGGAGCAGATTAGAGATAAGAAGACCAAGAATAGATCTGCTAGCAGAACAGTCTTCATGAGAGGCTAACAAACGCAGGGAAAAAAGGTTCACACTCATTAATAATCAAAGACATGCATATTAAAACTATGAAATACCATTTTCTGGTCTAACAAATTAGTGAAGAATAAAAACTAATAATACTAGCAAAGATAAGGCAATCTCAGACCCTGTTCGTGGGAATGTAAATGGAACGGTCTTTATGGAAAGCCATTTGGCAATATGCATTAATAATTTTAAAATATTCAAATCCTCAGACTCAGTAATTTACTCTTAGAACATATTCTGGGGAAACAAATTCATTTATCCATTCGACAAGTATTTCACTGAGGGCCTACTATGTCCTAGGCACTGAGCCAGGCCCTGAAGATACAGCAGTGAGTAAAACAGATTTCACCTCTTCCCTCATGGCAATTAGGAGAGACACACATTTAACATATAATCACAAAATAAATGTATAATTACACATATTATATATAGGATGCAAGGAGAGTACTTTTAAATATTGCATTTAAATTTTGAGACCAAAAAAGACCTCTCCAGGAAGTGACATTTAAGCTGCGAGCTGAAGGATGAAGAATTTAGCTACATGAAGAATGGGAGGAATTTTTTTTCTGATAAAGGAAACAATACTCATGAAGACAAGAAACAGTCAGTTGTTTTTGAGATTTTAGAGGACTCATTTGTTGACTTACTGAACACATGTGTGTAAAGGTCCTAGTAAGTACCAGATACTGTACTAGGGTCTGAGGATAAGGAATGGGAGAAAGTGATCAAGGTCTGGCTGAGATAACAGCAGACAAAACAGGTATAAAAGTACTCTATAGCCATGGAAGGGCCTGGAGTTCATAAAGAAGCCAAAGAGGTATGAGGAAATGAGTATAAAAGAGGGAAACCCATGTGTTTGGCAGGAGAAAGACGAGGATGCGATAAAGGTAACAAACACAAAGACTGCTGCCTTCTTGTCTCTTTTCAAATCCAAATATTATAGACTTACCTGAGAGAGATATGTTCAAAAATTTACCATGCATTAAAAAAAAATTTATAAACAGAAATATTTCAATGGGTTAACACTAAAAAGGTCATACTGCAGAAAAGATCAAAGTAGAAATCAAAACCAAATGTTAAACATGTATTCATGAGTTAAGGAATAACTATACTTGGAAACTATTTTCCCTATACATGAATTGCTCTCAACTATGCTAAGCATTCAGGGAACAGCAAACACTTTTTCAGAATAATAAGCAGTTTCTCTTTGCAAGAGGCCAAAATGTACATAGAATAATTTAAGGATTTGAAATCTGCTCCACTGACCAGATGAACTACAAGGGTAAGTGTGAAAAGTGGTATTTACACAAACCTTTTGGTGAGAGTATGCTTGGATCATCAGCAAGGTATGAAAGGAGCCATAAAAATGATTCTCGCCCCAGGTGAGCAGTGGGCCTGAGGGAGGAGAGCCCTTTTGCTCTTATCTCCTCAATTACCTAAATGGTAATATTTTATATTTGGCACATGTCAATCACATTAAAGAGTTAAACAAAATGTTACAGAGTAGATGCTACTTTAAAAAAATGTGGAACTCTCTGTATTATTTTCACACTTCTATGAGTCTAAAATTATTTCAAAATAAAAAGTAAATAAGGCTGGGCACAGTGGCTCACTCTTGTAATCATAGCACTTTGGGAGGCCAGGAGTTCGAGACCAGCCTGAGCAACATGGTTGACCCCATCTCTACAAAAAACAGAAAAATTTGGCAGGCATCATGGCACAAGTCTGTAGTCTGAGCCACTTGGGAGCCTGGGGCAGGAGGATTGTTTGAGCCCAGGAGTTTGAGGTTGTTGTGAGCTATGATGACACCACTGCACTCTAGCCTGGGGGACAGATCAAGACCCTGTCTC